CTTTTTTGCGTGAGGATTTTTGAGCTTGGTGACCTCCCCAGCCCGGGAAGACTCGTCGGGCTCCCGGTCGCCCAAGTCCTGGTAGCGAGCTCTCTGAGATGCTCGGTTCGTTCGGTCGGCAGGAAGAGCCCCCCAGTTGCGACTTCGTTTATGTTAGGAGACCAACGGGCATAGATCCCGTCTAGTTGGAGCGCCAAACAAGCGCTGTTGCGTGCCGGCCGTCGTTTCCCGTGCGGCCTGACCCGGGGGCGGAGTGCATGAGACTAACCAGCCGTATGCACCCGCCCCCCGCGCTGTGCTTCGGCCCTGGGCCCCCGGCTTTTCAGCCCACAGTGTAATCAACGTCATACATACATACATACATACATACATACATACATACATACATACATACATACATACATACATACATACATACATACATACATACATACATACATACATACATACATACATACATACATACATACATACATACATACATACATACATACATACATACATACATACATACATACGTGGTCTAATACATACATACATACATACATACATACATACATACATACATACATACATACATACGTGGTCTAACTCCATCCACACGGGGGGCGTCCTTACCCTCGTCCGACAAGGCCTAACAGCTACCGTGGAGACCAAGCCTAATAAGCCGAGTGTACAGGGTCGGCTGACGAGCTGCCTGCTTCGCTGGGGAGGACACTGCATTGAGGTCTGCAACATCTATGTCCCCACCGGCACTACTCATAGAGCAGCAGCCCTCAGGCAAGAACTGATCAGCAACATCCTGGCAGCAACGGCCACGCAGGCAGATACAAACAATGACACCACCCTTATATGGGCGGGGGACTTCAACTTTGTCGAAAACCCAGCGCTGGACTCCACAGCGGGGGAGGATGGGCGGAGGGGAGATGGCCCCATAGCAGAAATGCTCCGCACAGCTGGGCCAGGCATGATGGATAGTCACCGTCAGCTTCATCCCCTGCGCCATGACTACACCCACCTCTACCGAGCGCCCCGCCCAGGAGGCTCCCGACTGGATCGCATTTATGTGAATCAAGCCGTGATGCCGTATGTTGCTCGCACGGAGATTATCCAGCACACCCCCTCAGATCACC